TGCTATACGATGGTCTTTAAAGCTATATATTGTTTAAAATTATATAATATTTTATTTGATCAGCATACTTTTATAGACAAAATGTTTCTGTATTTTTAAATAAACTATTTTCACTTGATATGATGCCTTTATTTAATGCGCCATATTGGCAAAAACAATATAATTAAATTAATTAACGCTTTTGCCTATGTGTTAGATTGTCTAATTATATATAAAATTTATACAGTATAGAAAATTTTTAACAAAAAATAATTACAATTTATTAAGTTAATAAAACTATTGTGACGGGACTGGGGTTCGGGGCGTCGTCCGAGACCACTATCGACCCGTCGGTCAACGGTGTTGTGACTCACTTAGCGGGACGTTGGTCTCAAGCGTAAGCTTTCACAGTCACACCGTTCGGTGAGGTGTCGTTCGGGAACGGTACGGAAAACGGGAATGGGAAACGGGAATAAAACACTGTATTTCACATTCAAATCAATATAACTTTATTGTTAATAAAAACACGTGAATATAAACATAACGTATAACTCGAGAGAGTGAGTGAATGGTATGTGAAGCGAGTGTCGATACGACGAGTATAATATAAATGACAGCTAATAAGCATAAAAATAGCAAATAAAACATAATATTGGTTTGTATATAAAAACATTGAAATATAAGTCAAAAGCGATTATAATAAGTAAAACGAAATATGAATACGAGGTTAAGATATAATAAACTTAAGTGTAATTAATTATAAGAAAACAATGATTAATAAACTAAATGATGAGTCAAATGAGTGTATGGTTTAGAGTGATGTCATTGATTACGGTTCGCTCATAACCAACGTTTCGGTTTCTTCACACTATTTTGCGGTGAATAACTAAACCGTACTCTAGACGGTAAATGGAAGACCAAAATGCCCATCACATATGGGCAATACATAGACTTGCCATCACTTTTCCGTCATTTTGCACGAGATAAAACATTTACATAAATTTTATTTGTATTTTGCTGTGATTTGTCATTTGATGCTATTAATTTTAATAAACTAATATTTTTAAAACAGTTTAAAACAAATATTGTGTAAATAAAAGTGTAAATATTAATATTTATCAATCATGAAATGTAAAGTAAGTTAAGCTAATAAATTGTTTTTTGGCTATATTATTTTAAAATTTTTATTTTTATAATTACAAATTTAGATATACTAACATCAGTATTTATAATCTCAACAATAAACTGGTGGTCACTTTGACATGCCGTAGAAATATGCGATAATATTACCAAGGTGGTGTACAATGGCAGTATTTAATACGAGCGCATTTGTACGGACATGGATTACATAGACAAGAGTGATGTAAAAATATATGGTAAATATGGCACAACAATTGTTAATTACGTTAATTATGTTAATTACGACCTAGCTATAACCAAACAAAAACAAACACAATGAAAGTATACAAACAAAATACTACAATACAGTTAAGCACAATAAATATATCTAAAATAACTAATTGAACTCGCACAAATACTAGACTACTATAACTTTCAAGAGCAATTCAATGACCCGGAAATGGAGGCTATGAAAAAACGTTTCGGACAGAGCTTGGTGAAATTTCTATGGTGCAAGGGCTGGAAATGGTGCAAAAATTGCGCATGGAACATGTTCAAATGCGCCACCGTGTTGGACGTGTTCGCTTGCATTGGGGCCATTGTGTGCGGCCCGATGGGGACTCTACGCTGCACCGGCATACTAACCGACCATGATTATAACCCGTTGGAAAATGTGTTTGCCGCCAACTCGAGCGACAAGCGCAATTTGTATCAGCGTACATTTAACTTTGCTTATGATGATGATCGCTCGGTGGCCCAGCGATTTGTCACCGAGACCGTTGAGACGATTGAGCAGGCTAAAAATTTTTCTAGAAGTTTGTTTGATAAAGTGGTAGCCTATGATCACCGTAATTCATCAAGTTCACTTAATGGTACTGTTAATAACACCACGACCAAGTCATGGGGGTGGCCATTTATTAAACGCAATACTAATGAATCGTCTATGTTTATTAATTAGATTTTTAGCATAATGAAAAATTCTGGTTTATTATATAATATTTATTTTTAAAATAATTTATGTTTAATAAATAAAAAAGTTGAATTTAATTTGTTCGGTGTTGTGACTATAGTAAGTTTTATAAAATATTTAATTTGAGCGTTACAATTAATTGTTTAATTTATTTAATAATTCATAATTTGTATTTATTTATACTGTATGCTTATATAAGTAATTCAACTAGTCATTTTTATATTGAATAAATACTAAATAAAACTAAAAGTATAAAATATTAATTGGATTAATTACTAGAAATAAAGTAAAAATTTAGCGTTAAATTTTAGATCAATTTGTTGAAATTTAAATTTTTCATATTTAAAAATAAAAACTATACTATTGTGTGGCAAAGGCAGACAAAAATCTACAATAAATTGTAACTTTTATAACATGTAAGTAAACAATGAATTTTAATAGCAATTAAAATAATTAAACTTTTATTATTAATTACAATATTTCCAATTGATTGTGCTCGTATTAAACATCAATCATTACGCCTGTATGGGGGTTGCTATTTAAATGTGCAAACCAATGACCGAGGTAATGCGTAAAAGTGCCACATTAAATAAAAGCGCATTTGGTTTGGTAAGGATTAAAATAATGTAGCTAAATAACCACAATTAGATTAGTGTTATAATTGATTTTGTCAAAAAATATAAATAATTTTCTTGATTTTACAAACCACACAATTAAACTCTAAACAAATAGCTTTGTAAACGTATTTCTATAATTATTTTTACAGTTTTAAATTTAAAAAATAATTTACTAACTTACTAATGTTATTATTAATTAAACTGTGAATTATACAAAATATGTTACTGCTATTACACCTTTCTTAATAGGGCACATACTAATCTGACACGTGCCCGGCTTGCCCGGGCAGACGTTTGACGTGTCCGCCTTGCCCGGGCATATTATTCATTTGTGCCCGCCGTGCCCGGGCATACTTTTGACATGTGCCCGGCATATCCAGAAAAACACTATTAATCAAATATAACGGGCTTAGCATATCCGGACCAACTGTATTAATTAAATATAATAAGTTTAGTATATCCAGGCCAACTGTATTAACCAAAATAAATGAAAACGGCATACAGGAGCCAATTTATCATGATGAAATTTACAAAATTAAATATATGTAAAAAATTAAATAGTCCAATAATTTCAAAGAAAATTATAGTTTATTATAATTATTTATAAAATATAGCTAGCTAATACAGTTTCCCCGGATATTAAGTGACCGTTATACTTGGTTCATACATTTATTTTGGATATGCCGTTCCCTTTATAGTTAACTAATACAGTTGGCCCGGATATTACAGTATATTATATTTTGTTAATACAGTTGGCCCGGATATAACAGTATATTATATTTTGTAACTACAGTTGGCCAGGATATAACAAGCTTATTATATTTGGTTAATACAGTTGGCCTGGATTTACTAAGCTCATTATATTTAATTAATACAGTTGGCCCGGATATGCCAAGCCCCGTATATTTGGTTAATAGTGTTTGTCTGGATATGCCGGGCACATGTCAATAGTATGCCCGGGCAAGGCGGGCACAAATAAATAGTATGCCCGGGCAAGGCGGGCACGTCAAACGTCTGCCCGGGCAAGCCGGGCAAAAGTCAACGTTTGCCCGGGCAACGTCGAACGTCTGCCCGGGCAAACCGGGCACACGTCAACGTTTGCCCGGACAAGCCGGGCACATGTCAGATTAGTGTGTGCCTCTTAATAGTTTAAATATTTTAATAGTTTCTCAATTATATAGTTATTGGTTGTTAAAAAATGCAATCATCATAATTTAAATTTTATTTATAAAATATTATTAATATTCATGATAACACTTTGCATTATGCACTAGAATTTTGCATTATTCATGCTAAACCTTTGGCATAGAATTAACATGAGTTACATGTAAGTTTACCTCCCATATTAAACATCACTTTATTGTATTAAGCATAATTGGGGTAATTGTAAGTGGCTTAGATTGGTGGGCAAGGGCAAAAATGCAAGTAACTTGTATACTATTTATGCGATTTTAAGTCAACCCAAAGGCCGATCAGATTGGGTAAGGCATACACTTGTCCATCACTTTTTTTCGTCAATTACTACATTTTTACGGAAAATTTAATTTTTACAAGTTTCTTAAAAATAATACTTATTCTATAAAAATAATTGATTTAATTATTTTAAGATTTTTTTAATTTTTTTAAAAATTTCTTAATAGAAACTTTAATTACAGTTTATAAAATAGTAAAATAATATTAATTATCAATCATAAAATGTAAAGTGGTTAAATTTTATTTATATGATTAAAATTTTGACACATTTTATTGAACTATATTATTTTAAAATTGATAATCTATTTTGTAATAATAAATTTATATAAATATCAGTATTTATTATCTTGACAATAAACTGGCGGCCATTAAAAATTAAAATACTTAACCATCATGATTACTACACAAATGTTTATAATTAGTTAATTTGTCCCTATTATCTATAAAGTAATTCTGTAAAATTACCTAGTTAGAGAGTCTTTATTTATAAATATAATTGGGAACTAAATTATGTCATTGCTTGTATTTTTGATAAAATTTTATAAATTCAAAAATTAGGCAAATTTTAACCACAATTTATATGTAAAGAATGTAGTTTATAGCATCTCGACGCTACCCCCTCACCTCCTCGCCCACCTTATTGTATTTAATAAGGTATTATATGTTAATCCTATGACATAGACATATAATTACAGCTATCAATTTTATTATTACACAATATTTTACAGAATTATTAATAAAATCTTAATTTCTTAATTAATTAACATTACAAGAAATACTCTTTTGAACACGTATTTAATTAAATAAAATTTTTAAAAAACAGGATATAATTATTAAATTTCAAAAAGTTTAAACTTTATTGCAAACCATCTGAGCACATCAGTCTATACTAAATAACTAAGTTTTATATATAACTGATTGAGTTAAATAAATTTCAATCATTAGACATCAGATTAAAGCAAAGTAAAGTACAACTTACTTGAACGAGAACTACAATGCGCGCGGCAACAATCGTTCTACTCGTGGCCTTTTTTGACCATCAGCACCTATATGGTGCATGCTGATCCTATTCGTGCGTATTGGGTCATGTGCTGAACGTAATATTAATTTTCTCTTATCTTTTTCACTATTCTTTAGCCGAACCCGAGCCAAACCCGAAACCCGAGCCAAACCCGAAACCCGATGCAAACCCGGAACCCGAGGCAGACCCGGAACCCGAGGCAGACCCGGAACCCGAGGCAGACCCGGAACCTGAGGCAGACCCGGAACCTAAGGCAGACCCAAAAGCCGAGGCAAACGCGGAACCCGACCTAAAAGACAGATGGACAGGATAAAATTGATGGGGAACCAATTGATTAGATAATAGCGATACCATAATCTATAATTTTATATATTGTTTAAAATTATATAATATTTTATTTGATAAGAATAATTTTATAAACAAAATGTTTTTATGAGTGGCATTTTTAAATAAACTATTTGTAACTTATTTGCTGCTTTTATTTAATGCGTTAAATTACCAAAAACAATAAAAATTAAATACAATTTATTAAGTTAATAAAATTATTTTGCGGGTAATGACTAAATCCTACACCAGGCGGTAGATGGGCAACCCAAATGCCGATCACATTGGGCAACGTTTGACCTTGCCAGTCACTTTTTCATCATTTTTTCAAATTTTCACGCAAAATTACTTTTATTTTTTTTTATTACACAAGTCTTAAGAAAATATATCTTATTAAAAAATATTGTGTTAAATAAAATTTTGCGTAAAAACGTTAAAATTGACTAAAAATGTAATTGGAAAGTCTATGCATTAGTCTCGGCATTTGAGTCACCCATTTACCGCTTGGAGTACGGTTTAGTCATTATCTGATTTGCCGTTTTAGTTTTGAAATGTATATTTAATTTGTGATTGGGTTAATTGTATTAATAACAATTAATTGTTGGCCACTACCATGGCTTAGAAATATGCAATAATGAGGTTGATTACAATGGCAGCATTCAATACGAGCGCATTTGTACGGACATGGATTACGTTGACAAGAGTGGCATAAAAATATATGGTAATATTACAACCTAGCTATAAGTTATAGCCTATAACCAAACAAATAACACGCACACACACAATATTGCAATACACATTAACACAATAAATATATCTAAAATAATTAATTGAACTCGCACAAATACTAGACTTCAAAAACTTTCAAGAATTATTCAATGACCCGGAAATGGAGGCTCTGAAAAAACGTTTCGGACAGAGCTTGGTCAAATTTCTATGGTGCAAGGGCTGGAAATGGTGCAAAAACTGCGCATGGAACATGTTCAAATGCGCCACCGTGTTGGACGTGTTCGCTTGCATTGGGGCCATTGTGTGCGGCCCGATGGGCACTCTACGCTGCACAGGCATACTAACTGACCACGATTATAACCCGTTGGAAAATGTGTTTGCCGCCAACTCGAGCGACAAGCGCAATTTGTATCAGCGAACATTTAATTTTGCCTATGATGATGATCGTTCGGTGGCTGAGCGCTTTGTTACCGAGACAATTGATACGATTGAGCAGGCTAAAAAATTTTCCCGCAGTTTGTTTGATAAGGTTATAGCTTATGGCCACCGCAATTCGTCAAGTTCACTTAATGGCACTGTTAATAACACAACGACAAAGTCATGGGGGTGGCCGTTTGTTAAACGCACTACTAATGAATCAACTACAGTATGCAAACTAATTAGATTTTTAACTTGATGCCAAATTCTAATTTATTATATAAAAGTTATTTAGAAGATAATTTATTTATAATAAATAAAAATGTTTAATTTAATTTGTTTTATACATTTACTTTTGTATGTGTTATATAAAATATTTAATTTGAGAGTCGTAACTAATTGTTTAATTTATATAGTGTAAACATTCTATTTTGCCTATGTATTAAACATCAATATCATTATTAATTTTAATAATAAAAATGTTATTTATTTTGCGAGCAATTTTATTTTATTACTGTTTACCTAAGAGCTAGATTCTAAGTTATTTTTTTAATATCTTTTTAATATAAATTGTGTAGTTATGTTATAACAGTATGATTAAAATATACACTGAATAAGATAATTATATGCATTTTATTGGTATTTTGTTGTTATTTTTTACATTTATTACAGTATTTTATCAACTGGGTGAACCTATTGGGTTTTAGCATTTGGTTTACACAAATGATATATTCATACAACTGATTACATGTTAAAAGTAAGAATATGTTGTTGTTTTATAAATATAGATTACATTGCTTGGTTTTTGTATGCATTAGTGATCTCTTTGTACTGTAATTTAACTGTGTGCTAAGGTTTTTATGGTTTTGTGTACAAAAATAATAATGATGTCATCTATGTGTGTATTTTGTCACATAATATATATGGTTCACACAACCGATTGTATTGAATATAATATAATATTATCTTAATTTTGTTCACACAAATGATATGTTCACACAGTTGACGTTCACACAGTTGATACTATTTTAGCATTGTGTCTATGGACTGCGAATTTTGGTTTTAGGGTTTGGTTCATACAAATGCTAAGTTCACACAACTGCTTGTTCACCCAATTGATAAAACACTGTATTTCTAAATTATTATATCTAATACGGTTTTGCAATATTTTCACACAAATATGGTGTGAATTAAAAGTATATATACTAATAATTATCAATCATAAAAGTAAAGTGAATTAAAATTATACAATTTATTATGCTATATTATTTTTAAATTGATAATTTATTTTAGTATTAATAAAACCTATATAAATATCAATATTTATTATTTTACTTGTATCTTTCAATTTAAATTTTAAAAATTTAAAAATTAGACAAATTTTGACCACAATTTATATATAAAAATGTGGTTTATAGCATCTTGACACTATCCCCTGACCTCCTCGCCCACCTTATGAGATTATTTAATAAGTGATCCCATGTTAATTCTATACAATAGACATATTATTTTGGCTCTCTATTTTATTATTACACAATATTTTACAGAAATATTAATAAAATATTAATTTCTTAATTACAAAACATCCGCTGAACACGTGTTTAATTAAATAAAAATTTTAAAGCAAAGGATATAATTATTATAATTTTAACCAATCGTGCCTTACAATAAAGCAAGTATTACTTTCATACCAAAAAGCATATTTTTATGTAAAGTATCAATAACAATAATTTTGAACACTACCCCCCCCCCTTGGGCACATCAGTTTCTACTAAATAACTAATTATTACATATAACTGAAGAGTTGGATAAAAATTCAATCATTAGACATCAGACTAACGCAAAGTGAAGTACAACTTACTTGACCGAGAACTACAATGCGCGCGGCAACAATCTTTCTACTCGTGGCCGTTTTGATTATCATCACCTATATGGTGCATGCTGATCCTATTCGTGCGTATATTGTGCTAAAATGCTAAAAGTAATATTATTTTTTAAATTAACTTTTTAATTCACGTTTAGCCGATCCCGAACCGAACCCGGAACCTAGGTCAAATCCCGAACCCGAGCCAGACAAAGATGCCGACTTTGCAAGGGGAATGGTCCGCAATATTTTTCCTGGCTGATAAATGATGGTCTTTAATGCTATATATTGCTTCAAATAATATAATATCCCATTTGATAAGCATAATTGTATAGACAAAATGTTTCTATAAATGATACTTTTTAATAAACTATTTTCACTTTATATGCATGTCTTTATTTAATGCGCCACATTGGCAACAACAATATAAATTAAATTAATTAACAATTTTGCCTATGTGCTAGATTGTGTAATTAATAATTATTAATTATATAAAAAATAATTTAATAACAAATAATTACAATTTATTACAACTTAAAAAAAACTATTTTACGGTTTTTGGTTTGTAATGTATGTTTAATGTGTGATATATCTAAAACAGTTTAGCAATACTTTTGAACAAATATGGTGTTAATAAAAAGTATAAATAATATTAATAAACATCAATCACAAAATTTAAAGTAAATTAACATAATAAATTTTTGTTTAGCTATATTATTTTTAAATTAATAATTTTTTGTTGTATTAAATTTAGATACATTAATATCAGTATTCATTATCTTAACAATAAACTGGTGGTCACTTTGTCATGCCGTAGAAATATGCGATGATATTACCAAGGTGGAGTACAATGGCAGCGTTCAATACGAGCGCATTTGTACGGACATGGATTACATTGACAAGAGTGATGTAAAAATATATGGTAAATATAAGTATTATTATATAACACAACAATTATATATATAAAATATATAATATTAAATTTATACAATAATTGATTTTAAACTTACTAAAAATAGATGTACCATAATTATGGTGATAAATGTACAGTGAATAATAATTATCTATTACTTAATGTACCATAATGTTAGTTTTTGTGCATATAAAAATTTAATTGTGAATTAGTATTTATTAATTTCCACAAAATATAACATAATATACTTTACATTCTTAACAAAATGTTTGACATTAAATGCAATGAATTATTGCCTAAAGAATATGCAAAAAAAATCACCAAATATTGTAACAATCTCT